GAATGGCACACACTGCTTCTGTAAAGTGACGTCTTTCAGATACTTGGTGGCTTTTCGGATATGCATACCCTTGATGGCCTGGGCAGTTTCACGTGTGTTCTAAGTATAGACAATAAAAACTGAGTTAACCTTGTTAAAGGATAACAATTCTTCAAGTAAACATTCTTTTTTTTTTTTTCAAAATGTCAACATTGAATTAAAGACTTCCCATTCTTGAAAGGTGAGGTAGAGAGGAAAAAAAAAAATCTGTGCTTAAAAGCCAGGAAGAATTGGCTTAAAGTTAGGGAGAAACAAATTCCAAACCCCTATTAACTGTAATGTTTTAATCCCATCACCTTGTAACTATGTATGTCCCATTCTCTTCTCTACACTAGTTTAAGTAGTTCTCCTTAGTTTTACCCAATTCCATGAATCTTAAAGTGCTCATTGTATGATTGATGGTTACAGAATCAGTATCTTGAAGGTGACCGCTCAGAACTGATTAATTTTCATGGTAAATCCAAAGGTGTCCTAAGAAACACATCACTGCAGTCACCTTTTCAGAATGGGGGGGGGCGGGAAATTCACCGGAACACGTGACACAACTCTTAGAACGTAAAAGTTGGTTCCCATACCTTAAAGTGAACACGAAGATTTGAACCTCTTGATTTACATGATTTCGTAGGGTTTTCTGGGTCAAGCGAATAGCGAACCATTTTCAGAGGTCACCTCAGGCCGCTTAGGGGAAGAGGAAGAGCTGTCCTAGACCATTTTTAATGACAAAGTAAGATAAGAAAAAAAATCTTTCAGTAATAAAAAAAATTTATTTTGCTTTTTTCCCCCACAAAAACATGAGAATAGAGAGTTTAATGTTATCAGCTGAGGGGAAATAATGAGCTATAGGTAGGAGTCCAAAGTAAAAGTAATTCCACCCACCAAGTCACCTCAGCCAGCTTCTTTGAGGTAGTCTTTACAGTTATTTTAGTTTGGAGATATCCCTATAAATGAGCATTGCTCAAAAGCTAGGTATTTTATGAGTTTTTGTTGATTTTTTTTTTCTTTTTGGCATGGTTTATACAGACATCTTAGTTATACCCACCTTAAAATTTTTCCAGATTACAAAAGTTACAACTATGATATAAATACTTGGACATCAGTTGCATATGTAAAATAATCAAATATGTTGACTTAACTAGATCTCTAGACTGAAATTTTTATATATACAATATATAGTTATATTTTCCTTATCTAACTAATTCCACTAGCAAATTATAGAAAGCATGACTGTTATCACTCTGGGTATCTATTCAGGTTTACATTTTCTGTGCATGTGGGATCTGTGTAGAGTCTACAGGAAGTCAACCGTAGGATGGTAAACAAGAGATTTTGGAAAGTTGAACTGAATTTGAAGGAAGTGGCTAGGAAGTTAGAAGCTGGGTCAGGTTCCTTCGGTATTATCTTGGTGATTTGCTAGAAGGACTCTCGGAACTCAAAATATAGCTGTACTTACAGCTAAGATCTACTAAATGAAAGCAAAATTGTCAAAGAGAAAAGGTACATGGGGCGAAATCTGGAGGAAACCAGGTCCACTCTTCCAAGAGTCTTCTCCCTATGGAGTCCCTTAGTTCCTTAATTCCTCCAGCATTAACTTGTGATGTGTGGTCTATCAGGGAAGCTCCTTAGACATTAAGTGCCCAAGGTTTTTACTGGGCGTTGGTCAGATCAGCACCCTTTGCCAGACATGCATGAAAATTTGAGGGGGGACAAAAGTGTTTGTTCAGCATAAACCATAGAGTTTGTACATTTTAGGCACAATGAGTCAATATTACCAGTTAGGGAATAGTAGTTACCCTCATAAAATCCAAATTCCTAGATGCCAGCCAAGGGCCAACCTGGCAAGCAGGCATTTCTTAGGATAGCAATCTCAGTCTTGCTCTGTTAACTCTTTTCTGGGGGGGAGGGGGAAGGGCAAATAAAAGAACTAAATTTTATCCAATGTCTCTGTGTTATAATCTTTGATAGATATTTTTATAGCCCATTTAATTTTCATGAAATCTCTATGAAGTCCAGTGGCAGGACTGGGATGAGGGCTGAGGAGATGGAATAGGAAGCTCCCTTTGTCTCTGTCTTTGATTGCCTTCAGACTCTGTTGTGTATGGTATGGTCATTATAAAATTTAGCATCACCACTCATTTACACTCAATGATTTGGGAATTCATTTTCTCCTATGGACTGCACTGGTTCACATCCATTTTTCCTTGAAAAGTTCGAGTTGGTTTCTCTATTGTCAGCATGCAGAACACTGGGCACCCATACCCTGGGTGAGGTTTCTAAGCTTTCTGTCTTCTTCCTTTGCATTAGGACTCACCACAGGGGATGAAAGCACACAGAGGTAGTTTTATATTTCTCCACGGAATGGGTATATTTGGAAAGAGACCGAGAAATCAAAAGACATATGAATGTGTTTAATTGGATGATGAATTTTCTCCCTAACAGCCACACTCTGTCCAAAGCACAGGAAGATGGAGCAGGGATCAATACTTTTTGTCATCCTCACTCCCTTAGCTTTTTTTTTTTTTTTAATATCCTCACACCCTCATCACCATTTTTCCCCAACCAGCTCCTATTGGGGAACTCTTTCCCCTTATCTTTTACATGTGGTTCAGGGAGGATTTGGCAATTATATCACCCTATGATCATAGAGTTAAGCCTATATTCAAGTTAAACCAGTCAGAATCCAGTTCTGTCCCCTCTACCCCTACACTTGCTGATGGTAAAGTGGATAGGAAGAGCTATTTTCTCTCTGGAGGGTTTGTTGGAATGCTGTGAGCTTAGAAGATCTTGGAGACAAGTAGGGGAGAAGGAAGAAAAGCAGAGGCAAGACGTAGCGTGCCGCTCCTGGTCTCAGCTCTGCCCCCTCCTTGCCATGTTCATGAGCGTTTTTTGTTGACTTCATTCAAATTGCATTTCTGTCTCTACGAACAATGACCCTGACCCCTAGAAGGGTCGATTATACCTAAAGAGCATTCTTAGAAGAAAACTAAACTTGGGGTTCAGGCTCTCTCTCAGTGAAGTGATAAGGGAGGTTATTCCAGGAATATATATTCATATAAGGCCAAATGTTATTTAATATTGAAAGAATGAATAATAATACTTCTTTTTTTAAACTCAAGGCCTGAATTATTTGATATGGAAAGAATAGACATAAATCAAGACCACAGGACTAGGCCTACTTTATTTAACATATTTCAGGATAAATTTTCCCTCTTTGGGAAGCCTAGGTCAGGAACTTCAGAGCAGGCCTGTCTGAACTAGTCCTGGTGTTGAGAGGGGGTCCAGTTCAGACCAGGTCTCACCCTGAAGTGGGTATGAGGCCCAGGCTTTGCCATGAGAGTGCTCCATACTTGGTAGGAGCTTCTGAGCATGTGCTTTCATAACGATGCTTCTCAAACAAGATGACTGTCTTAGCATACTTTTTTATTGGGCTAACACTATGATTTTTTAGTATTTATTTCTATAATAAATCTGGAATTTGTTTTGTTGTTTTGTGTAGGAATCTAACTACTAAGAACTGAGAAATGTGGGCATAAATATATAGAGAAAAAGTATTCTGAATATTTGCCTTTAGAAGTATTTTAAATTATGATTTCATACATTTTCTCCAGATGATCTGAAAGAGTATTTTGTATAACTCTTTTCTAAGTAATAGGAAGAAATTACCTACGTTGTTTTCATGTCTATAAATTTGGAATATATCACATAGCAATGTGTGTCTACCTCTTGGGAACATATTGGGGATGATTATTTCCAAATAATACTCAATTGTGCTATAGTAAGTAGAATTTTGTGCTCTGTCTTTTAACAAAAAAGAGCTGGGAGATGCAAATTGTGTTTAAGTAGACATCAATATTTTACCAGGATAAGTGCTGGAAGATTTAATTTCTTTTGGAAAATGGCAACCATATGACATTTCAAACTGATTAAATAGAAATTTGATTATTGGAAGTAATAGTGAAAATCCATCTTTAATTTTATGCATTTTGGTGAGAGTCATGCAGTTTCCGTGCCAGATTAATGGGAATTTTCTCATCTGAATGACAAGTGTACATGGCCCTTCACTGTATAATTGGAATGGTCCAGATAGCTTTCCATTCACAAACTTAGATATTTCGGTGGTTGAGTTGAACTCTAAAACTGTTTTCAGCAATGAAGTGATATCATAGCTAGTAAATTTTGCTTTTGCTTTTATTTTGTTATGTGTTAGTTTGTTTTCCCCCAGTTTCCTCCCCCAAATTATCCTCCTTACTGTCAGTTTCTTTGGGCATAATGGACCACTACCTGCCAACCCGTGAATGATTTATAGCTACATTTTCACAGATACATGGGTCTCAAACCACGGAATAAATAATGCAATGAGATTACGTGCTGTAAGAATTTATTTCTGAACTTTGACCTTTACGTCATCCTGGACGCCCCTCTGTGGTTGTACCTTTTCCTAAGTAACTTGGAGAACTGCCCTCTTTTTCACTGATGTTCAGGAAAACAACCTCCCCTCTAACATGCTCCCAAAGTCGCTGGAGCTGGTTGCTGTGTGATGTTTGTGTGTTTGCACGGTGCACATTTTTCCCCTGACGACTGCTGTCATATTGACTCACTTTGATAGTCAAAATAAGTCTTTTAAAATGTTTCTCTGTATACTCCAGACTAATCCAAACCTAAAACAATCAGGCTGACTTTATTTGCCTTTTTCAGCCCCGGCAACATCAAGCTAGCAGACAACACTTGCAGCTTCAAGAATGATTACCATTGCTGAAGATATGAGAGCCCTATAGAAGGAAGCTTAACTTTCATAAAAGAAACTGTCTCTGGAGGGCTTGGAGTGGCTCAGAAAGGGCTTGCCTGGGGAATCAGGAAGACACCATCAATGGCACAGACTTGAGGTGCCATTTCACAAAGAGCTGCTTTTTCTCCTCCTTTCTCTCCTCCACCCCCGCCAGTGTTGGCAGAAATTCTTGCAAAGTTATAGAATGAAGGTGAACAGGACAAAATTAGCAGATTCCTGTGAGTCATGACAGTTTCAACACAACCTCTAGCTGTTCATGTTAAATTATAGTGTGGGGTATTTTAGCATGTATCAGGATGATTAACCACGGGGCAGGCTCACCTCCCAAGGTGGTACTTTATGTCATTGTGCAACATAAATTGAGAGAGAAATAGAGATGGGGTAGGGGGCCAAATGATCTGAATTTATACCATTTTCCTCTCATTATCTTAATGTATGGTACAGGCAGCAGACTTCCTAACTTCAACCCTCCTGTTAACAAAAGAGATCTGTCACGAGACCCGAGCTTCAAAATACCAGTGCTCAAATGACCCAAGAAACCTTCCTTTCAGACCTGACATTAACCATGGGGGTCCCGAGATAACAAACCAAAAAAAGAAGATGTATCTTTCTGGAAGGAAGCATCAAAATGATCTCTTATAATCACTGAAGTTTAAGGAGAAGGGATAAACTGAACCTCATACCACCTTTGCTTCTTGACAGAGAGCTG